ATTGATTTGCTAGTGTTTTTGGCATGATCCTTAAGACTTGCCCATTATTCTGCAGGGAATTATTCTGCATTGTATGAGTCCACACTGACCATTACAATCTAGTTCAAAATACAACAGTGTGGATGGGACCTCAAATATATTGGAGAATAATAACTGCATAGATATGTAAGTAATACAGCTGTAGCACTACACAAATTGTTGTAACTATTTTAGTTCAAGAGAAGGGCCTTTTTGGCTTCTGTCTGCAACTAAAGTTAGATTGGCTCACATTTAGGATTAACATAGCCCATTTCTTGGAAATGTGATGAAACTAATCTGGATGTCATGCAATGTGTTCACTAATTATGCAAATCACTGTGAGTTGGGAACCTCCTGCTGTTTTATCATGTTCTTTGGGTGTGAAACAAGACCTGGATTATTAAGGATGTGAACTCTCGGTTGTAGCTACAGGGAAGAGAAGGCAAAATGAGGCCATTGCCACTCCTCCACTGAAAGTTTCCTTCAGTCACCAAATTTTTAGCATTGTAGGGAGACAGTCATTGAAAATCATCTATTCTCAGAGCTCTTACATTTATTGTGTTCACATTCTGTGGGTAACCTGCCTGGTCTCTTTCTTTGGATGCTTAAATTGTATTTCTAAATGTGCAGCTGCTGTTTTAGATGACTGGAATGTAAGACATTTCAGGACTGAAGGAAAATTTCCTTGGGGGCAGAAATTTTATTTAGAATGGCAATGACCTCTTTTTGTCCTCACTTTAGCTACAGCTCTGCATAAGCTCTTTTCTGCTGCCAGTTTTGTTCAGATAGCCATGCCACTTCTCAGTCACAGCTGTACTAAATTTTGGATATCTGAATTGTTTTGAAAGGCAACAGGAGGATTAATCAGGACTGTCCCTGACAAATTAGGAGAATTGATAAGTATAAATTGGCAGGGTTTCCCCAAACTCAGATTCCTCGTATACACACAACCCATGAAGAGGGCAGGTAGTTGTACACATAACTTGCTATACAGAGGTTTTCCTTTCATGTCAGGAATGACTTGAGAATCTGCAAGTCGGTTCTGGCATGAGAGAATTGGCCATCTGCAAGGACGTTGCCCAGGGGAAAACCGGATGTTTGGTGTTTTCCCATCCTTGTGTGAGGCTTCTCTCATGTCCCCGCATGGGGAGCTGGAGCTAACAGAGGGAGATCACCATGCTCTCCCTGGATTCAAACCACGAATCTGTCAGTCTTCAGTCCTGCTGGCACAGGCGTTTAACCAATTGCACCACTGGGGGCTCCTGTTATGCAGAGGTGACCCAAAGCTTAACCTTTCAGAATCTGCTGCTTTTCTTTTCTAAATTTCTAGCACACATTTTTTATCTCTTTTAAAAAAAATATAGAAATGTGTTTAAATTTATGGCATGTATTTATTTATTTATTTATTTATTTATTTATTTATTTATTTATTTATTTAGGGTACTTCTACCCTGCCCTTCTCAACCCCCTAAGGGGGACTCAGGGCAGTTTCCAACCGGCATACATTTGATGCCTACAATTCAACACAATAAAATACATAGTAACAATAATTATAAACAGTTAAAACATTACATTAATACAATAAAAAGCCAGCCTAGTGGCCATCGTTTCGCCAAGTCCGTAATTCATAAATTAATTCTGCTTATCATAGTCTGTTTCCAAAGCTTTCGTCATCATTGTCCTTCTCAGTCTGCCAGATTATCCAAATGCCTGGTCCCATATCCATGTTTTTAATTTCCTTCAGGAATTTTGGGTGGCACCCCTCAGTCCCCATCGCCCAATTCTAATGGAATCACCAACTTCCTCTTCTCGCCCTCACACATCCCAAGCAGACCCTGATCCCAGCCTTTAATTACTTGTCCGGTCCCCAAGGAGAAGTCAAATGTCTGGTCGCAAGCCAAGCTGCTGTCAAACTCTGTCCCATCTTCCAGCTTCCCGAGGATAATGCATGTGGAGCACATCTCCTTTGCGGGACTTGATAGGGCAGTTGTCGACCCGTTTCTTGACTCTGATCTGGAGCTTCCGTTTCCCTTCCGTGCTCAGCACCAGCGAACAAAATGCCCACAGAGCCAAGCTCAGCAGCACCGCTCCCAGATTCACCTGCATGGTTCAAGACCCTCGCCTTGCCTCTCATCGGAGACCACCCTCCCTTCAATGGGAGGGTGGTCTCCGTTGAGAGTGTTTCTCATGTAGTGTTTCTTACCATGCTCCATGCAGTCATGCCGGCCACATGACCTTGGAGGTGTCTACGGACAATACCGGCTGTTCAGCTTAGAAATGGAGATGAACACCAAACCCGAGTCAGACACAACTGAACTTAATGTCAGGGGAAAACCTTTACCTTTACATTTCAGTGTTCCTTAGCCATTTGAATGAGAACGATACACTTATTCATGGAAAGTGAACAACTYCTAAAATCATTTTGAAAAAAAAGAAGAAAGCAAGCAATGGATATCTAACCAAAGATATCAAGATGTCAAGACATCAAAAAGTGTGTGTGTGTTTTAAAGACAACAATCTCTCCCCCCCCCCACCCCATCAACTCCTGAAGTTAACAAGTCAGGCCTGCACTTCTCCATTCTTGAATACAAAATGTCTGTCCTATTGGTGTTTTCTCTCAAAATCTTGCTGTAATTTAAATCAGTGGTTCCCAAACTGTCTTCAGTCTAAACCTGAGGTTCCACAAATATACTGTAAGGGTTCCACAAAAATCTTTAAAATTAAATATAAAACAGTTTTAACAATAAAAACACATGAGGTCAACTATTTGATTGTCTCTATGCAAAGGAAGGGGAAAAGCGAGTTAACTCCATCTACTTGCCACCGGGAGTCGTTTTATCATAGCCCAGCATCTCTGACTTCTCCAGAGAAATGCATGGAAATTTTGAGAATGTTCCTTGTGCACATGCTAGATCACCCTTGACTATTTTAGCAACATCCAGAAGATACTTTCTTTTATGAATATCAGCATACCACTACTCACATTCAGTTCAGGGCAATCTCATGTTTGTGGTTATATTTAAAATATTTTATTTGTTTCCAAATCTAATAAGTTACATAAAAACTTAGGCAATAGGTGTAGATGAAAGGAGGAAGAGTTTTGTGGTTTCACAATACTTAGTAAAAGTTAGGGTTAGGGTTCTGTGGGGGAAAATGTCTTCTGAAGGGTTCCATGACCAAAAAAGTTTGGGGGAACCTCTGATTTTGATTCCTATCAAAGCAAGCTGTATCCACAGGTATAGATCATATGTGGTGATTGAAATAAGACCCCAAGCAGCTGCTGTTTGAGCCATTTTCCTTGAAATAAATGTGTCATTAACAGGGCTGTAACTAAAAAGAAAATACAGACTTCAAATATGATGTTGGCTGGAAAGCAACTGGAGGGTAGCAGCAGTTTTTGCCACATAAATAGAACCAGGAATTGGGAAGGAATTTGACTCAGCCAGAATTTCATAGGTGTAACCCTGTTATTTCTGGACAATATATAAAAGTACTGAGAAATATTCACCCTGGGCTACGGTCCCAGGCAAATCAAGACTATTAGTTTTGTGAGCAACAAAACAATTGCCTGGTGGGTTCTGTAGAAAAAATGGGAAGAGGGAATTCATATAAAAACCAAATATTATATGTAAGCATCATTCAACATGCTATTTGTATTTTTGTTAGCTCCACTTAACAGCACTGTTTCATAATGTTCCAAAACTGAGAGGCCTGGCAGTATTTATTTTTAAATTCTCATATTTTCTCTCCAACTAATATTTTTGAAAGCCCAACTCCAACATGAGAGTGGTGTAAACAGCTTTGTCAGTGTGATTTAGTTTTTGAATTTATGTTTCACTTTTCTATCATAGTGTGATATGATTTGGTGGAAAGAACAATCCAGTAGCATTGGATTTATCCACTGTGTAACTGGTAGCAAAGGAAACAGGATAGATATGTTTTTTCTCAAGCAAATGAATACTGCACTAGAATCTTGTTCTTGCTCTAGCTGTATAAATGTCTATTTGCTAATACAGGCATGAGCAAATGTTCTTGCTTTGGGGCCGCATTGTGGGCCTGACCGAGAGGGGCAGGCCAGGAGGGAGAAGGCCAGATGGAGCCAGAAGGAAGTGGGTCATCCTCAAGTTGTCCTCCTGCCATAAGAATGGGGCTGCTTGCTCTATCCTTATGTTAAGAGGAAAACAAGATATGTGGCAACTGTCCCGATCCTCCTCCCCTGATCTTTGGGCTGTCCTCTTGACATTATGCTGGGAGGAGGGCTAGAATGCTGCAGAGGGCTCTCACCCACGATGTGACTTCCTTGGGCTATCCTGTCGGCATAAGGATGGGGCCGCTCACCTCGTCCTTTATGCCGGGAGTACGGCAAGACAGAGGGCTCTCAACGGTGCTGTGCCTTTCTCCCCCATCCTTTCTGCATAAGGATGTGGCAGGCTACCACGTCTTTATGCTGAGAGGACAGGGAAAATGAGGAGGGCTTGACTTAAGAGCCCAGGGGTCCTCATCCAGTTCCTGGGCCTTAGTTTGCCCATGCCTGTACTAATACAATGACATAGTTGGATACAGATTTGTAAACCTCCCATTCTGGTGAAAAATCTCTTGAATTTTTGGCATGTTGAGCGGGGATTACAAATATTCTTGAGTTTTACTTTTTCTCATTTTTGCATTAATGATAATTGGCTTTCCTAGTCACAAGAATAGAGTTATTTCCCCACTTTTTCTTCTATTCTTTAAGTTAACAGTAGCTATTTTTTCATAAAAGGCAGTACATTTAGAAACAGAAGCTGTATGACCCTTGTACACATTGCAAAGTAGAATGTATCTAGCTTCAGTTTGCTACTGGAGAAAAGGACAATTTATGTGATGTTCTATGACACAGTTTATTATTTTAATTGAAGCCATAAACTCAGTTAAAGATTACAACCTGTCACTTATATGTTTATCATATATTGTTCATCATAGGTTTACAAAATGAGACATTGGACTTTTTCATAGTACAGTACAAATCTTTATTCAGTGGCTGACATTGTAGTGTTATCCAGTGTTAAATCATCATGATAAAGCATTCTCTCAAAGAAAAAGAAGTAACAGAAATTTCAGTTTACTAGGCTGTTTGTACAATATATGTGAGAGTATACAGTGTAAGGTATTATGGTGCACATTGGCAATATGGATAGTAATCAATATGCTTAATATAAGGCCAGGGAATGCTGATTTTATCTTTGGTTGGTATTAATCTTTGTATCAAAGACTGGGTGATTATAGCACCATTCTTCTTAGAAATGTTGTTTCTTAGCTAGAGCACATTTCAATACTGGACCATATTTTGCAACGTCAGAATATGAAGAGATTAAATTCAGAAAGAAAAAAAGGCACAGGCATCTGGTCAGTTTCAAGTTGGTGGGTCAGCATATCCATCCAGGTTTTAGCCCAGAGAATCATAGAATCATAGAGTTGGAAGAGACCTCGTGAGCCATCCAGTCCAACCCCCTGCCAAGAATCTCTACAAAGGTGCTGTAATCCCAAAGTATATTTAGCACTTTGTGATAAATTCATTAGTTAGGACATATACCTGGAGTGGATTCACTGACCCACTGAAATGGGAGCCATCAGCCATCCCTGTCAAAAGGAAGAAGGATTTGGAATATATACATCTTGATAGAACCTGAAATGCTTAGTATAACAGACATGTTTTAGTCAGAACTTGACACAATGCTTTTTGGAACAACAGAGTTGTAGCCACCAGACATGCTGGTTTAAGGATTCTGTAATTTGTAATCCAAAAACTGAAACTTTTCATTTTACTATCAGGGTAGTGATACAGAACCAATTTAATTTGTTGATGTCTTCCAACAGTAAAATATCATAAATGTTTTTATTGGGAAGTTCTAGAATATCTCATTCTTTATTTAATTATATGTGCAAAATACATATGTTTTTTAAGTGATATCTGTTTCTCTGCAACCAAATTTGTATTGATAAGTCTTCTCTGAAGGACAGTAATCTTGTAAATTTTTTACGTCGTTCACTTTATATGCCACGACTTCCAGTATGATCAAACTTTTCTAAATGAATTGTAAAAACACGATTTGTATTCTGTCATAATTAAACATTCAAGTGTAATGATATAAATTAAGTCTAGTAAAGTCAAGTTTGGACACAGACTAATGTAATGAAAGTAATACATGATATAGAAGCATGGGCCACTTCCATATACATATGCCTAATTATTCAGTTATTTATTAATATATTTTTGCAACATTTCAATTGCTCGTTTTGGAGTGTATGATTTAAAGTGTATGTTATATGTTTCAGCTTAGAATTCAATTTTAAGAAAGGAAGCAATGCTAAAATGATTCAGAATTAGAAGTAGCTACCAATCTTTTCACCATTTTAGGAATATTGTTCTTCAGGATTTCCCTCTCACTGTAAAATGCAGACTTCATTTTACAATTAGCAAAGTAAATACTTGCTTTTATTTCTAAACTGCTCTACTGAAGCCAACATAATCCACACACTCATTTATTTCCAAAATAGTATAAAATTAAAAGTGTTGATTTCTCAAAATACCCCTACATTTTTCTATATGCTAATAATCTGAGGACACATATTTAAGGACAAATTAAACTGTAAGGCATATTCAGATTAAAAACATAATAAAACAAAGCTCTTGTGGGTATTTACTATTGCAAAAAACAAAGTACTGTATTGTGAAACTAGACAAGAGTGGCAGTCATAGAAAAGGACATAAACTCGTATTTAGAAAGGAAAATAAAATGAAACCACTTTTCTTAATTTGGATGCCATATATTGAGAGATATGTTATGAGGAAGTGTTGATAAGAAAATAAATTGCAATTTTCACTTTTTAACATTTTGATCCACACTATTACATTCCTATATACCCACTGACTTGGGAGTAAGCTCCATTGAACTTAGATCTTTCTTCTGAATAGACATGAATGGGATTTTACTGTAAAAATATGGATTCCTGGTTCTTACAGATTGCATTCATACAAAAACTTGGCATTTGTAATGTGAGAGAAATTAAGAGTGTTGTTTGTGTGCAGAGTGGTGTCCACAAAATGATTTGAACAAACATTTTCACAACAATATATAAGTGACTTGATCTGTCTGTTCTTTTCTCTACTGTAGTGCCAGGTTTTTCATTTGTTTTGACTGCTGTGAAATGGTGATAATTTCTAGGGCTTCTGCTTATTCTTAAGAAGAAACACATAAAAACACACACACACCTTTTAGCTGCTTGAGATTTTCTGTCTGGACCAAGAATTACTTTTTTTGGAATCAAGTGGATAGAACTACCAGCTGTTGACAATATGTCAAAAGGAAATGGTTGAGGACATGGCAGTTTCCAAGCTGAGTCAAAATTAAAGCATTTTAGGATCATTTATACTTTGTGTTATTCATCTTGCATATTTCTTCCCCACAGAAGATTTGCATCACAGAAATTGCTATTCAATTGATAAGATTATGCCATTATTAAGCCAGGTTATGTGGCACATGAACTGCATTACTTTCATTCAGATTTATGGCAAGTGATTTTCTCTACACATGCTTAAAATATAATTTCCATCACCCCTACTCAGCAATCAGTGATAAGAAATGGTGAGTTGCAGTCCAGTAACATCTGGAAGGCCATATTCTCCATTTCTAACTGAAGGGAAAGTCATTCTACAAGTCAGTCACCTGGTTAACACATTCCAATACTTCTGAACCCTTTGTTGAATAGCAGTTCCTTTGAATATCTGAACCTGAATGTCATCCCACAGCCATCCTTTGGCATTGCTGTATGCAGTAAGGGCAAATCATAAGCTAGTACTTGTTTCTTTGGGGATGGGCTAACAGCGATCTCCCCAATCTTCAGGTTTTGCTGAGAAAAACATGGAAGCAATTCCATTACACCTTTAGAATCAACTGAGATATTAATACTTGAGAAAAATGCTTTGGTTCTAGGCTTATTAATGCAGGATATGAAACTCGGGATATGTTGCCTTATTTAAGTCACTTATTTTAGGTGATTTAAATGTGACTTCAAAATATGAAGGACAATGGATGAGCCAGCATCATAGTTATCAGAAAAGTGTCATTCATGCTTTACCAAAATCAATGAGCATGGCCATAATGCCACCCACAGTTACTAACATAACATGGGACTGAATGTCCTGCACATGGTAACTATGCTTGAGCTATGGTAGTCTGCAAAAAGGCTGCTTTTGCTCATGGAAGTGACACAAACCATCATTATCTTAGGCACATTAAATCAAACAATGAACTAATACAAAAAGCCATTATTATTAAGGCATCCACTGGCGTCCAAGCCAATTTTGGTCAAATCAGCAACTCCCCTTATTTATTTATTTTTGGGTGTGGGGGTGGAGGGAGGGAGGAAATAGGTAATTTTTTCACTAAACTACATGGGAGCGGATTGATGCACACCTGTTCTCCAACCTTAGAAGAATAAGGTGAAATGGGAGGTCTCTAAACAATACCCTTTGGATTTCACTAAACAAGTACAACAAGAATAAATTTATTTCAACATACTTTTCTTTTTGTTGCTGACTTTTCTTTTAAAGAAGTCTTTGTTGAAGAATGTCAGTGTCCATATACATATACATGCAAGTATATGTATCCATGTGTATTTTGTTTATATATATATCTGACACACCCACACTGCCATACACCCAAATATTTTTATTTATACTATTGACCATACTCACATCAGTGTGTATCACATTCACATACGCGCACACATTCTATTAAAAAAAACCAAACAAAAAACAACATAAAAGCAACCAGTGCTGTGTGTTGATAAATTCACATAGTACTTTCCATTCAAATATAAAGGCATACATTAAAAAAAGAAAAGTGGGAGAGAAAGAAAGACAAAGAAGTGATAGCAAAACAATTTAAATATAGAAGAGTTTTCACAATTGGCATTTCACGTTAAATAATAAATAAATCCATTACATCATTCACATACCAATTTGTAAAAACAATAAATTATTTATTTTTCAGTGCTATGTTGCTTTTTTATTTTCATGTATAATTTTGTAAAAAAAATATTACTATTTTTACATGGGTGACCAGTTGCCAATATCTTCTTCCCACTTTCTTTCCATGGAATAAACAGTTTCTATGGGAAATAAACTGTCTAGCCTTGCTCAAAAGAATTTTTACATGTTACTATTATGTACTGTATGCATACCATACAATATCACATGGCCTGGATAGTTGCTGTTGTTGCTGTGTGCCTTCACTTTTGAGTTATGGTGACCCCAAGGCAAAACTATCATGGGTTTTCTTGGCAAGATTTCATTGGAGGGATTTGTCAGTGCTTTCCTCTAGTGCGATTGGTCCAAGGTGACCCAGAGAGTTTCCATGGCTGATGGTAATTGAATACTGGTCTCCTGAGCTCCAGTGAAGCACTCAAAACATTACACCACACTGGGCTATTGAAGATTACAACTTGTTTTTCTAGGGCAATTTGAGAATGTTTTGCCAATTCAATGGAGAGGCTAGTTGGCACGGCACTACTAATTGTAGAGCTGCTCAGAGCCATGAAACTAGTTGGGATTTCAGTAGACTTTCATTTTACTAGGAGTTACAATGAAAATCGCTTGGCACTGATACATCCCAAATAATTAGGATTCACTTCTTTCAGAGAAAGAAAGTATAAAGTGACACCACTGGGACAAGTTTCTCATTGGAATGAACACATAAAGCAATGTGGAATAGCTGGAGGTATAACAAAGTAGTAGCGATACAGCAGGGTAAAAACAAATATACCCCCTTCATTTTTTTTGTTGCAAAAATTAGCTATGACTACCACATGTCACACCCATCAAATTATCATGCTACAGTTACAAAACTGAAATTCACATTATTTTCATGCTTTTATAAAATCAGAGTCGAAATTCCTTGTGCCATATAAATCAGACCTCTTTGCTCAGCCCATCAACTCCAGTAGCCATTTGCATTTTCCCTTTCCTACTCCCAAATGGATTATGTTCAGTCCAAAGCTTCCCACTACTGTGTCAAACGTGTATAGGAAAAGTGATTCACCAATACTACATCATATATTTCTAGCACCTTCCAGAGTCTCTTCATGAAAATGTAAGTAAATGCTAAAAGTAAAAGAAAAAAAAGCCTTAAGATGGTGCTGAATAAGATATAGTCTCAAATAATGTTGACAAAATTAGCTGTAAAACTTGACACCGTCTTGCGATCTGTTTTGTTTTTTTGACATCCTCCTCCTTTGTCAGAGAGAAGCAGAAAAAAATTGGAATGGGTATCACTCTAAAAACATTAGTAAACTACTGGTTTTCTGAACTCCACAATCACAGAAAGATTTGATAGTGCAGATATCACACATAATGTTGCAATCCACAAGACACTTAACTATATAAAAATATTTTCCATATGTGAGTCTCTGTCTGAATCAGGAGTTGCAAATATAACCATTCATCCAGATCACTGTGGGCTGCATAATGCTGCAGGACAGTTTAACCCCCAACTCTCAGGTGCCCATGGAGCATCTGGACATTTAAAAACACTTAAAAGAGAAACCTCTAAGGTGCCAGTGTTTTTGCATGGGGTTTGGGTTTAAAGAGTCTAAATCTGGATTAAAACAGTTGGGGTTCTGGCAGAGTCTCCAAAATGTCTTCTTTAAGCCCACTGCAAGACCTGCTTTAAGGTACAATTGATCAGGACTGCCGTCAAAGCAAGGACCTATTCTTTTCTTGGATCTATAAACTGGGTATGGTAGCTAGTGGTGAAAAATTGGCTTGTAGCTCACCAAATTTGACCATTCGCATTATAGGTGAGGGTATTATTTACTCTTGGTGCATAGCTCTTTATCTAAATTCTATTCTGCCACAACTAATTATATACAATTGCACATGGTTAGAACTGCATTGGAGAAAATGGTTTTCCTTAAATGATTAAAAAATAAATGCCCACTAGCTGAATCTCTGTGTTAATGTGCTTAATAAGTGCACCCATATTCTTTAACTGGTCATATCCTGGCAATGTGAAAGAACAGCTGTCAGTCATCATTGATGAGTAGCTTTTACAAAGTTATAGCACTAGTCAAGAACAAAAGTGGAACTGTGACATGGTAATTTTACTACTGAATTGTAGTGTTCATCCCACCCAACTAACTAATTATTTAAGTGTCACATAGTGTTCTCCTCATGCAAGTCAACAAGACTTATATTAATGGAGTGGCTTAACACTGAATTATTTTCCTCAATGATTTTGGCATAACAACAGAAATGTTATGCATAGAATTATGTACCCTGATCACAATTTCAGATCAACATCAGAACTTGGTTCTGGAGCCACACATACACGTGCAAAGATTTTAGATCAAAATTTGAATGAAAATTATTTTTGATATAACCCTGATCCCATTGAAATAGATAAGAATTTCAATAGAAATTTATAAAATTAGAATTGTTTACACTTATAATAATTATGTAAGGCACTGAGAACAGAAGTGATACCTATATTCATTTCTATTATATTTCCACATTTAAGATTTTCATAATATATAAATATAATCCAAAAGTAAATTGATTTCACTAGATTTCAGATGAGGTATTTACGTTACCTTACTAAAATGGAAAATATTTTCTACAATACTTTGCACTGTGAAAATACTTAGTATTGACTATAATGATGATATTAAAATATGACTTGAATTTCCTGTGTCTCTTATGAAGCTATTTAATCATTTTTGTGACTACTCTAAAGTATATCCCATTGACTTCAATAGTGCTTACTCCCAGGAAAGTGGGCACAGAACTGCATTCTTAATCCACAAAAATATGCAAAGTGTTCAAAAATAAAATATTCAATTTCTTGAACACAAATTAAAACTAAAATATCCACAGCAACAACAAATAATGTGCATGGGTGCCCTCAGCAATGCACTTTTTACTGATATGTGACTTTTATGGGCAATTAAAAGACTGACTCTTTTCATTTAATGTTAGGACCCACATTAAATGTGCAAAAGATAGCACATTCTTCATGGAAATAATGAAGAAGTTGGGCAGAGGACATCTCTATTCATATCTGATCATGTGTATATCTCTGGACTTGGTATCTGAGTGGTAATACATAGTCCTAGAATTAAAATTATTGTATAAAATATTGCTATATGCAAGATATGCAGTATGTTTTTAAATGTCATCACAGAAGGTAACAAATTCATTGTTTTAGTTTCACTATGGCTGCCAGAAATCTAACATATAATGAATAAGTTTCAGATTATATGAGTCAGAAGATGATTAAAACATGACCCAGCACCTCTTTCAGGACTGGTTGACCTGTGGCTCCCAAAGGCCTTACACAGACTTCCAAGAGTGATTTGTTCCCCAGTTGCCTGCTAAGTTGGGACAACTAGGAGAAAGAGACATAGAGAAAAGGACACCTGTCTAGACTACCAACTCCTGACATAGTCTTGATGGATTATTCCCAAGGAATGTTGCTTCTAACATTTGTTACCACTTACTGAATTCCTTCCCAGTAGTCTCCTCCTCCATTTGTCTACCTCCTGTACCAAATATGGGAATTGTGCAGCTTCAGATACAGGTTGACTGGAGGCCCCAGCAACCCTAACAAGAATAATTGATTGTGAGATATGCTAGATGAAGCCTATTAATCTCTGAGGGCAAACAGTTCCAACCCCTGTTTTACACAATTGATTCTTTTGTCATTTTCATTGTTATTACCTGAATTGTTAATCCAGAAAAAAGTATCCATCTTACTTTTTGTTTGTGTTCAAGATATATTCAAGCAGCTGTTTTATTGCTGCAGAGGTGTTCTTGTATGATTTTTTTTCATTAGAAAGGCATTAAAATAGAACAGAACTTTTTGTCAGGAAATTTTTAGAACTGAAATGTATTTCCTGTTGTCAAAAATGTATTTTTTCAAAGCAGCAAGCTCTTAATTTTTCAATTAAGTATCCACAGCCATCTCTTTAAAAACCTGAATGAACCCTAAATGGCTGGAGACACATTTTGGTCAATCACTTGTGTCAAATAGAAAAGCTATCATCCTTTCACAAGAACAGCAAGTGACATAAAGTGACATACCAAAGTAAAAGTATTTACAAATAGTATAAAAAGAAGCTGTTGTGGTATCATGGTTAAATATGACAATTGTCTAAGGGTGTATTGTGTTAGAGGTAGGTGAAAAAGGGGAGATGATTCTGTAACCTTCAGATATCTCATGATCACCCATTCACTGGTTTATCCTCTTCTTATTTGCAGATACAAAGGGCTTTATAACAACTAATGCTTAGTGCATTTGACATATTAAGATCCCCAGAACAGTACATATTTTCATTTGGTCCAAATAGGCAGATTCTGCCCATAATTTCAGACGATATGAAAGTATCCTGAAGTGTTCATTTTTCTCCGCACCCAGGTAGATCTTATGTCAATGTGTCAGATATGACTTAATGAGACTCCTTTTGAAGAAGCCTGTAACCACAGGTTAACATTTTTTGAGCAAGCACTGCTTAAATGCTGAAGGTCTTTGAGACAGAGAACATCCTTTTGCTAATTTTTCATTTCCATCTTTACACTGTACAGTTCTTGTGTGCCAGCCTGTATCACATGTTCGAGAACAAGAAAGCCATGGTCCAGTCACCCATTGGGGCTGTGTGAGTGGAGCTGTCAGTTTGTTGCTGCTGCTGTTACTTGTAACAGAGTTTGTTATTTGGGTTGGTTTCTTTGGTACGTAGAAACTATAGCGTACATCCACTGGCTTTGTTGGATCAGTTGCAAGAATCTGCACTATAAGGATCTCCTTTGTACCTGTATGTCCCATCGCATGAAGGGAATCATCTTTGTGACTCCAGCCACTGTAGTTCATGACGGTTCCATTGAGGTCAATGATGGTTTCTGAGGTTGAGATCATGTATTTCCCATTGACAAGATACTCACCATTCCTTTTTTTCAGGGCCAAGTAAGCTGTGAACCTTGTCTGATCTTTAGTTTTGAACTGACGTATTTTGATGTGGGTTGCTCCTTCTGGTATTTTTACAATATCTGTGTAGCCCTTACTGAAATAAAGAAAGGTACATGTTAGTTGGGAAGAAACCAGGGTCTGCTTTAAGCTGCTGGAGACAATGTAAATTTATTATTTAATTGATTATGATCTGTGTCAAACCTTGAATCCTTTCCACTTCTACAGTACTCATCTCCAGGGAAGGTAAGTTAATTTATATCCCATTGAAACCAAGGAGAATAAATTGTGCCCCTTTACTTATTTATAGTTAGTGAATGTAAGAATACTTTATGATATCAGAATACCACAAAATAATATTAATTAATTAATTTAATAAACAATGAATACATGATAACTAGACATTGGTAGAAAATATTGTAAGCCAGGCTTGGCAAGGAACTTTTGGTGGTCAAGGTGTTTGTTTGCCCATGGAAAGAGAGGAGATAAGGAGTCAACCAAACTTCATGTGGGAAGGAATTTCCACTGCCTTGGAGCAGGTTATGTCCTGTCCATCTGTGACAGTGGTTGGTTGGATAGAAAGAAATCCCTCCCTCAAAGATCTTAACACTACTTGAGATGGATTATAAGCTCTCTCTCTCTCTCTCTCTCTCTATATATATATACATATATATATTCAGTTTATAGTGTCTGAACATCATTAGGTTAATGTATTGTCAAAGGCTTTCATGGCTGGAATCACTCAGTTCTTGTGGGTTTTTTCGGGCTATATGGCCATGTTCTAGAGGCATTTCTCCTGACATTTCACCTGCATCTATGACCTCACCTCTGAGGATGCTTGCCATAGATGCAGGCGAAACGTCAGGAGAAATGCCTCTAGAACATGGCCATATAGCCCGAAAAAACCCACAAAAACTGAATCATTAGGTTATTCTGTTCAAACAGCAGTCAACAAGTGTTATACAATACTGATTATGATTATATTCTCAGTTTCTTACCTCTTTTTATTGAATGTTCCCATAACTTTTGTGCAGCTAGAATTGTCTCCACCACAGATTCCACATTTATCATACTGGAGTTTTGAGCCTATAATTCCATCACATCCTGTTCTCACACATTTGCCACGAACACACACTGAATTACTGTATGGTCTACATTCAGTTCCATCAGTTACCTGTGAAGTAAAGTTACTATTGGTTAAAACAGGAGTTTGAGAATTTATGTCTGAATGATACATTAGTGAACATTCTTATATGCTTTATAGCTATTGGTACATATACAGGTACTGATGGTGGACTTCAAATCTCATACATTTAGAACAACCTTCCTCATTACTACATTCCCTAGATGCTGTGAGCTATAGTTCTTATCATCCCCTACATTCTAAGGGAGCTTTAGTTTTAAACATCAACACCAGGGAAAACTGTGTAGCAGTTTACTAAGCACTAAAATGTTCAATTCTGCCTTCCTCTGGACATGAGTGGCAGGGTTTTGAAGAACCTTCAGAACCATAGGCATAGTATTATTTGTCAAGATGGATAGTATGAAAGAGTGAACATGTGTAAGGAAATGTATTTCTCTGCTAATATTTTGTCGCTCTTCATTAGAATCCCCCTGCCCAGTAATGGGCAGGATATGAGAGCTACCAAAGTTTTCAATTTCACAAGATTAATCTAGAAAATACAATCATTTATAATACATGACATGCCAATCAATTTACCTTTGCACTTAAATGCAAAGCCACAGTTCTTCTCCAAACCCATACCATACAGAGGACTATAACACATAAAGCATTTACATCTAAAAGATAAGTAGTTATAGTAGCAACTTTTACCTTTTGAGAGAAAACTACATAGTAGCCAGTTCCTTTGGCTCGACAAGTGAGTTTGCAAACATCTCCTGGGAGCACGCCTGCATATTTGGGGACCCATTCTACAAAGGTTTTGACACCTTTTGCATCTGACTGATAGCCATTCCTTGCTTCACACTGTTCCTGCCGAAAAGCTTTAGCTGAAGAGAAATAATTATTAGTTCATTACTTTACATGAACATAAATATAGTATTTCAGCGCCAACATACATATTTTGTTAATATTTTAATTGCACCATTTTAATTGTAAATTCCAGTGTTGGAAGATCACAAAACAGACAATGCACAAGACAGATCACAAGACAGACAATGATAAGTTTACAACACATATACAATTCATCTATAAACATAACCAATGTTCTACAGTGCAACCCCCTCCCCCGATCTACATGGAGCATTTATGGTAGTGTGTATGAGCAACCTAGTTACATGTGGAATTTGGATAACTTCTATGTATCTCATACAAGTATTGCCAATTTCAAATCAGGCCAACAACTGTTTAGTACGCTGGACATAACATTCATTCCATAGGGAATAGAATATTCCAGGCAATTTCATAGAATCATAGAATAATAGAGTTGGGCCATTTAGTCCAATCCTCTGCCATGCAGGAAAAGCACAATCAAAGTATTTCTGACAGATAGCCATCCAGTCTCTATTTAAAAGTCTCAAGGAAGGCGCTTCCACCGCACTCCACAGCAGAAAGTTCCACTGTTGAACAGCTCGTACGATCAGGACATTCTTCTTAATGTTTAGGTGGAATCATATTTCCTGTAATTTGAACCCATTGTTCCAAGTCCTAGCTTCAAGGGCAGCAGAAAACAAATTTGCTCTCTCTTCCTTATGACACCCTTTCACATATTTATACATGGCTATCATGTCTCCTCTCAACTTTCTCTTCTCAACCTTCTCTTCTGCAGGCTATACATACCCAGTTCTTTAAGACACTCCTCATAGGGCCTGGTCTTCAGACCTTTGATCATTTTAGTTGCCCTCCTCTGGACACCTTCCAACTTGTCAATATCTCTTTTGAACTGTGGTGCGCCGAATTCGACACAGTTTTCCAGGTGAGGTATCTCAGGGTAGTGAATTAGAGCAGTGGACAGTGATGAGTCCCATGTTAGTGGGACTCATCACTAATCTAATTTAGCATTAGCTGAATTACAAATAATCTATCCAAGGTTCTGAATTTATTTTCAGGATAGGATTTAGGACCTCAGATAGTTCCTTTGAAGTTAGATTAATTTACAGAATGGGTTCACTGGCCTACTGTTATTGAGGTCGCCAAATTCCATTGAGTGAGAGTGTGTATGTGTAGAAATAATGCTCTTTATATCCCACTACATTCCTCATACATAAACTGAAAAATACACAATTTTCTGTATAAAAATATTTTATCTGAAAAACGTTTTGCACAAAACATATTTTGCATTATACCCAAGCTTTTGTTCAAACAGAGTTTTCACAAAAAAATCTTGGAATGCAAATAAGTAATAAAATATGCAAAACTTCTCACAATCTCCTCTAACAGAAACAACACTTTTAAATTTATTGAAAGATTATTTAATTCTATAGTCTCAAAGCAACCTTTAATTTCTATGGCTTCAAGTAAGCCAGATATAGTAACCATTTGGAAATTGCTTAGAAAAATGAACGAATTAAAAAAGCATTAAATGATAATACACACTAAACATCTTTATGGAGAAAAGAAAATCCCAAAATGTTGCAATGTAATATCTACCCTAGAGGGACTAGGGCCATCTTTTTGTGAAGCAAAAATCTTTCTGGTGAATCAAGCACTTATTTTCTACTTTAATGATTATATGTTAATTGTGCATTAATTATAAAAAACAATGGAGGGCAGTAAACAGATACATTACATATAGATGAATAAATAAACCACACTTTGTTTTCACTAGATTTTGTAACCAACGCGACAACAGAGCAGTGCTAGCAACAATAATATCAACAGCAAAGACAACAACAATACAGGTATGAACAGCTCTTGGGACCTAAAGTATTAGGGATTTTAGATTTTAGAGTATTTCAGGTTTTGGAGTAACAACAACAACAACAACAACAACATCCTGCACTATCACCTCTATGGTCATTGTTATATCTGCCCCCTCCCATAAAGCCTATTGTTTCAGCACCTTAACTAAAGGGTTTGCAATGTGCTGAAGACCAGAGTGCTAGGAAAAGATGTCTGTATCACAGTCTTGAGGAACACTAACAGGCAGCTGGACAGTCTCCTTAGGATCCTCTTGCAATTGCTTCTTTTAAACCATTTCCCAGTGCTACAATTTGCAAATCCCTTGGCAGGGCCTAACTGAAAATAGCGGGATGTTTGATTTTTCATGACCATGATATGAATCTGTTATAGTTATGAGATCAAATATCCAGCTTATGATCTCTTAAGTACTGAAAATGATGCTAGCCAATAATCATACAACCGCCCCTGTTATTTTTTCTAGTGTAACAAATCTGAGTCATTGACTTTTTTTGAGAACCAGAACTGAACAGAGTTCATAGGGCTTCCATGCAGATTTCTATTCCTGAATATCTTCTTCATTGTGGCTATATAATTATGGGAACTCATTTTGTAACCACTCTTCCAAGAGCTAGAAATCTTTTTTTTTTTGTTATGGCACAGGAATAAAACAGTGATTCAAATAATATCTTCTGCACATCTCAAAAAATAACACTTTGATGCATGGAAACTTACCATTGGCAGGGCAAGGCACAACATTACAGGAGCGATAGATGGCCCGCTTTCCAGTGCAATACCGACCATTGTTTCTAGGTGCTGGGTTATTGCAGTGACGATAGGCAAACTGAACGCCGCCACCACATGTACGGGAGCATTGGCCCCATGGCCCCCAGGACCCCCAATTCCCATGGTTTGAAGCCTGAAATATGTACCATAATATGTTATAAAAGATAATACATCAAAGCTAGAAAAGAAAGTCATAGCTCAAATTCATCAGCTTTGTTTTTGCATTTCTAATACCTCTTGTCTCTTTTTCAGTGGTCTGTCTGTCCATACTGAAATTTGTGTTTCATTGGCTAAGAACTGATTTCTTTGGACCATTTACACAAGAAGATCTTTGCACTGAAGTTCTAGAAAAAATACCCAAATCATTCCAGGTAATCTTCATCATCTTTATAAACTGAGGTAGAATTATGCTCCGTACCTATAATGCAGCAATTTTAATGATCTCATTTATATATTACTGTCATGCTGCTTGAACAAATTTGCTGGGTTTTGCTTCCTTTATAGATTCATTATTTTACTGTGTCTTCAAACATTTTTATTGTGTTTTCATAGCAAGGATTAAATTATTGAAGGGGAGATTATACTGCTAAATGACAAACCAAAAGGATACAGAGATCAGACACAAGCATGTCTGCAGAATTTGGAAAAGTTAATTTTGAACTGTAACTCTGAGTATTTTTCTTTCTGTAGCTTTCCTTCTGTCCCATCAAACAAAAACAGAACTAAAATATTTGCACATTCTTGGAAATTGCTATATAACCAGCAGAATATGTGCACAGTGGCAGTTAAAATCTTGAAAGAATTTCAATCTTTGAAGTAAGAAGGAAAGAGTTCTCTTATTAATTGTACCCTGGGATGTATTCTATCCACACTGAACAATCAGTAACTTTATCCGGTATGGCTGTGCCTAACAGAATCTTGAGATCTGAAGCTTGGTGAGGGACTCAGAATTAATGGCTAGAGAATTCTAGTTCATAATTCCCCAAAGCTAGAGCATTAAAGCTTTAGACACAAAATTGTAAGTACAATTGTTCCTCCATATCCATAGGTTCCACATCCACAAATCCAACCAACTATGGATCTGACTTCTGCTTCTGCTTGCTCTTTAATATTGGAAAGTGAAGCAGTTGCATTGCTAAGGGAGAGCAGAGAATGTGGTGGTGTGGTCCTTGCTTCTTCTTCATTGGCTTCACACTACCCATTGTTTCCAGAGTGATTGGCAGAAGGTCATTTACAGCTCACTGATATGTGCTCTGGTTGGTACTTTGTTTATTAACCATTTTATTTATATTTTACATATGGGATTTGAACATCCATAGGTTATGGTATCCACAGGGGGCTTTGGAACAATCCTTTGTGTATGTGCAGGGCTGCCTGTACCTCATCAAAAACTCTTCCAGGCATGGCCAAGGTATCAGAAGATTACCAGAGATTATAGTATTGGTTGCGGAAATGCTTGATTTTTTTTTTAAAAAAATCAATTATGTTTCTTCTGTCCTGGAGTACTTTTTGACAATTTCCAGCACTGGCTACAATATTTTATCCCCATATTCAAGTAGGATTATTTTCATTTTGAGACCAGGTAGGGAGAAAAAAAAAGGAGTCCTTTCATCTATTTACCTCCTTTTTTTCAAAGTCATAATCCATCTTTGAAAATATACTTTTGCACTATAAGATTTTAAAAACCCAAAAAATAGAGGACTACATTTACCTTTTATATTATGAGACCACCTTATTAAACCACACTCTGTTAAAAGTATCTGTAAGAACCCTAATGCAGATCCAAGAAATAAGTGCAAACAAGCCAGAAAAAAAATTGAATGAGTGGACATGGAAGTCACATCTGCCAAAGCCTGAGGACACGGCAAGACCTCATGCTCTTTTAGACCAATCTGGAAGAATGCCAATTTATATATACCACATTTTCATAGGATGGAGCCATGACAATTAAAACATCATGAAAGTACTGTGAAGAAAAGTGGAAATCATAAAAAAACATCTATGCCCATTGAAGGCAGACCCCCAGCATGATTCATATTATTTGAATGTTAAAGTAGCAACATACCGAATAATATTTTTTCTTTGTTTTGTCAACACATTTTCCCTGAAGGCAGATTCTTCCTTTTCCACAGGGTGTCCCCTCCACAGCAGGGAGTTTTTTGGTCAAACACACCATCTGACCTTGGCGAACAACCGCACACCACAGACGAGAGCACACGTCCATTCCAGGGCACACTGTGTATTCAGACCCGAATGCCAGCTTACACTGACGAATGGCATCATATGTTTGTCCTGGAAGTTCCTCAGGGCCCAAGATCTGCTTTCGTGGTTGATCCAGTAAACAGTTACCTGAAAGCACACAACTGAGTTTATAATTTACATCCCAAATGATGCATACAATAACCCCAAACATCCAAATAGATAAAGTGACCACGATCTTGTTCCACAACTATGCACTCTACAGTTGCATTTTTGTTAAGATAACCCCTGTGTAACTAATGGTTATACATTTTCCCTTTACAATACAGAACACTTTATTTTATAGACTGCAAATTCATTTTCCTATTTTTCAAATATTCATAGAATCATAGAGTTGGAAGATACATGGGTCATCTAGTCCAACCCCTTGCCATGTAGGAAAAGCACAATCAAAGTACCCTTGACAGATGGTCATCCAGCCTCTGTTTAAAAGCCTCCAAGGAAGGAGCTTCCACCACACATCAAGGCAGAGAGTTCCACTGCTGAACAGCTCTACCTATTGTTCAGGTAGAATATCCTTTCCTGTCATTTGAACCCATTGCTCTGAATCCTAGTCTCCAGAGCAGCAGAAAACAACCTTGCTCCCTCTTCCTTACGACATCCTTTCAAATATTTAAGCATGGCTATCATATCTCCTCTCAACTTTCTCTTCTGCAGGCTAAACCTACCCAGCTCTTTAAGCTGCTCTTCATTCTAGTCTCAATGAAGAAAGTAGAACTATAAACCTGAGCTATAGTATTTTTTTTGCTTGCTACTACATAATGGGTGTTCTGATTTGGTATGTCATCTTCAAAGAAGGACATATAACTAATTCTTGTTTTGCTTTTCCATGTTCATGAAGACACTCTGTGAGTGGGGTCTTCCATAATTATCAAAGGAGCATAGAGATATTTCCACATAAACAAAACTGTCATTTGAACTTCTTGAGGCAGACCACTTTTGAAAAGGTAAACCTTATTAATGAGAGCCAGAGAAAGCATGGCACAGAGCTATAGCCAACAGAACCATTTCAGAACGGAGTTGGGGGCAGATGGAATCTTTTAATCAAAACAAAAAATAATCAGCAGAGGAAAGGCAACATTGATGGCAACTGTTCCCTGGGCACACCTGGAAAGCAAAGAAAGCCACAAGGCCCAAGAATAAACATTCTGTGTCTTTTAGAGATGTGAATAAAATGGCAGGAAGCAAAATGCTGCTAACTGTGATGTTAAGCACTGACCTAGTGCCCCCTTTCTTGAAGAAAAAAGCCAAAGGGTTTACCTTGTTCCAGTGTGAATACAGTAGTACTGCTCAGACTTTAGCCATTCAATTTTGTCTATCACCCTCATTTGCACTTTGTTGCTTCCTCCTTAATTGCATTCTGTGGCAACAGAACACATTCAGTTCTCAGTTCTCTTTGTTTCAAGAAGCAGAAGTATTTTCCCTCAAGAACTTTGCTCTTTAAAGTCTTTTTGTTTGTTTGTTTGGTGACTTCTGCATATCTCAAGGTCCATCCAAGCCTATTCAAACTGGTTTGCTACTGGACACAATTCAAAGTGCTGGCTTTAGCCTATAAAGCCCTAAACCAGTGGTTTTCAACCTGTGGGTCCCTGGGTGTTTTGGCCTAGAACTCCCAGAAATCCCAACCAGTTTACTAGCAGTTAGGATTTGTTGGAGTTGAAAGCCAAAAAATCTGGGGACCCACAGGTCGAGAACCACTGCCCTAAATGCTTTCAGTCCAACCTACCTGTCCGAACGTATCTCCCCCTATAAACCAGCTAGGGCATTAAGATTTGCCGGGGAGGCCCTGCTCTCAGTCCCACTCCCATCGCAAGTACAACAAGTGGGGATGAGAGATGGGTCCTTCTCAGTAGTGGCCCCTCGGCTATGAATCTCCCTCCCTGACAATATTAGATTAGCCCCCTCCCTTCTTAGTCTTTAGAAAAAAGTTAAGACCTGGCTCTGGGCTCAAGCATTTGGGAATAGTGCACCAAAGAATTAATATGTAGCAACATGAAGGATGAGCGTGGTTTTTAGCTATATGGTTTTAACAGTTAATGTATCTGTATGTAATTTTTGTTGATGTTTAATTTGTTATTTTTTCATATATTTTGTATTGCAATTGTGACACTGAAGTGACCAATCTGCAAGCCACTCTGAGTCCCCCTTGAGGGGGGAAACTAACAGATCAGATTTCAATTCATACTGGCTGGTTTTTGTTAAATATGCTTTAGAGTGTAGAAAAGGAAAACAATACAACCTTGTTGCGTCAGGAATTTTGGATATTACATTTGGTTAATGGTTGACTCATAAATTTAGGGCAAAGGAAATGATACTTGTTCAGGCCTTGGTGGTGGCGTTATGTGTTTGTAAAATGTTCATTGATTTATGTTCTGTTTATACTGTAAGTTGTTAATGTAGGTAAATAAAAATATTTTTTTTAAAAAAGGAAGAAGAGCGAGGTATAAATATGGGAAATAAATAAATTCATTTTGTCCCCACATGACCCCATTTGGGCTACATAAACAATAACACTCACAGCTTTAAGAGGAGAAACAGAATCCACCCCCCCCCCCAATATAAGTAACTTGCTCCTGTGCAAAATTTCGAGATTATAAGTAACCTGAACTCATTTTAGTTTTGTTCAAACTACTATAAGATTGAATATCTTATACGAATCTTGTGTGGGTGCTTGTGGTTTAGTGAAGCTTCATTTCTCTTAGGCCAAAATAGACTACCGCAACCTGTCTCCCTCTGTAAACAGTCTCAACTACCACTTGATCATGCATGAAAGCAAAGAGGACATACATTTCTTCCAAACTTCATTACTTTTGAAAATGTGACAGAAATAGAGTCCAAGTTGCCAGATTTCAAAACATAACTTTTAAATGAAAATTAGTGATTGCTCCTTTCTGAGAGAGGATTCACCTACTGTGGCTATTTGCTTTCTTCCTTATAATTTAAATGTAGTAAATACTTCTTTCATCGTTTATTTGTCTACTTAAGCATGTGTGTTCCCATTTATCTGTTCTCTGAAGGCCCTCAGCACGTTTCACCCATCAGTTTTTTTAATTTCTTTCTAATATATGTTTCACTGCATTTTTAAAATGCAGTACTGTCTCCCTGCTATTTGATCTGAGATGAAAACCTTATATTTCTTGCCCAGGACTACATTTTGGGATATGAGCAAGATATGGATACAAAATGGCTTGTGTGAGCACAGCAATAATACTTGTTTATGGATAAGTTTATACAGAGATTCTATGAGTCAATATGCCAGGATGCCATTAAGGCTCCTTCTATACTGCCATATAATCCACATTATCAAATCAGATAATCCATATTTTTGTTTGAAATGGATTATACAAGTATACACTGCCATATAATCCAGTTCCAGGTAGATGATCTGGATTTTATGTGACAGTGTAGGGGCCCTTCTACACAAGCCCTAAAATGTGGACAGAACCAGGATAAAAGCTCTATGGTCAGCTACCACTCACACTTACATGAATTATGCAGTTTAGGACACAATCAAGCTGTCATGACAGCATTATGATACCATCTAAACCAGTTTCTAACACAACACTCATATACAGGTTGCCAGAAAGTATCTGCAGAATTTAGTACAATTATCAAACAACATATAACTTAATGGATTAGAAGATGAACTCCAGATTTTCCCCACAGATGTGTTGCATGAATCCTCATCCCAACAAATCACACAATGGACATGCTAAGTATTCAACTCTATTGTCTCATAGTTTGGAGGGAGCAGGTGACTGCAGAGAAAGATTTGAGTCTTGCAAGTGGGGCAAAAAATTGGCAATGAAGATTTGTAAATGCGATAAGATCAAAGTAAATCTAATTCTTGCAATGCAGGCTCGTAGCTGACAATTCATTAAAAAGACCAATGCAATGCTAAGCTTCTATTGTCAGTTGGGCCTCAAGTGAGGGAAAATCATGGGATGAGCACTTCATAGTGAAGGTGACATTTGGAGTGTCCCACTGGTAAAAATAATTTCAATAGTACAGGGGAGAAGAGGTAAGCCACACCTTAAGTGTGGACTACAGGATAGCACTCTAACCACACACGTGAGATCAATCTCTTTGGGGCAGAATTATGATTTTAAAGTCACCTGTAATTTGATAATATTATGTTTCTTAAGAAATTTTGTATCGATTTCTGCACAAATGCCTGCATACCTAATCAGCATACATAATCAATTGGTTAATTGGCATAAGGTCATAACAGACAGAAATTTCATTTCTGAATGATAGCCCTAACAGTGAAAAGACATTCATCTTTCCTATCCGAAAAAACCCCAGCAACAATAAAAGTAATTACCTAGTAGTTATTGCATATCTTATTCTGGTTGAAAAAGATAGTATGAATCAACACCGATAATTGTGTTATGAATCATGGGCATGTTTCCAAATAGTTATAGAAGGAGGCCATAATTGAGGCAATAGTCTCTTATGTCACTTATGCAGATATCCCCCCAAAATTACAGGGACATGTGATGAAAAAACGAACCTCAAGTCTCTGCCCTATTAAGAATTTCCTCTGTCAGAGAGAAGATAAAAACAAAGGCATGCTTGAATACATACAGGAAACATCTGGCAAGAAGGTGGGAGACACCTAAGTTTTACATAGTTTTGCACCTCCCAAAGTGTAGCTTCCAGTGGCTAGAAAAGGTGCTAAGTATTGCCATCTGTGTGTACTGTAGCAAATATGACAAACTCAGGGCCTTTTTTGATTGGACGCTTCATCTTCTCCATGCCAACATATTCATAATGGGGCACAATGAACATTTTAAAAATTATTTCATTTGTCTAGAGAAGTGTCTGCTGTTCCCCTTCTAGAGCAGTGTTGTGTGGGTACACTTCAGATAAATATACTTTATTAAAAATGGTTGCCATCACTCTACCCCAGCCCAAAACCCAAAGTATTTCTCTGCTTATGCAGAAAAAGGAAGTGATGAAGGAAAGGAGAAGAGGGGGCTGCCCCCCTTCCTCTGTTTTGGACAAGAAAGAGGTAATGGTGTCCTGACATTTTCTGCTTCTTGCCATTTACTTTGTATTGGTTCTTCATTCTAGCACTTGACTGTGTATAAGGGCCTTTCCAGCCAGACACAAACCCAGTGATTGCTTCTGGATTAGTTTTATGTGTCCAAGTGATGCCCCAGGCTTATACAGTTTAACCGAGAGTAAACCTGGATTTCCAGGTTTAAGATTTTTTTTAAAAAAAAAACCTGCAGAGATCTGGACCTCACAACCTCCCCAGAAACATGCCCCTTGATACCAAGAAAATCTCCAGACAGCAAGAGAGATAGCTTCCTTGTCTCTCTTCTGATGCAAGTAATACACTAAGGTATCTAGCATACTAGCAGTCTCCTTCTGTGCCATGCTATTTCATCATTCATTTTCAACAATACTTTTGCATCTAAATAACTAGACTCTTGCTTAGAATAGTCTAATGCAAAACTACAACCTATGAGAGCATTTAAAGAACTCATGCATATAGTGGGTGTGTGAAGGTTAAAGTGTGTAGGAAGTGTTGGAGCATGTACCTGACACCCACTGATGTCCCCTTATGCTCTGACCATGTATGTTTTACCCCTAAAACTTCCATATCAAGTCAGAAAGTGTAAAGGAAGACTGAATGTAAGTTTTTCTGAGTCTGCCTGTGGTAAGAAAAAAGTGGGGTATCGATAATAATATTAATAATTGTAAAAATCTTCCCCATAGCTGGGAATCATCTTGATGCAGAGTGCTGATTGCAGAGACAACTCTAAGGCCCCTTCCACACAGGCCAAAATTGTGAAAGGAACTGGAATTGTAAATCCCAGTTCCTCAGGATTGAGGTTCCACACCAACCTCAAACCCTGGGAATTTGCTAAGGTGGTGGCTACAAGCCCTGGGGGTATCTAGCCAGCCCCCAGCCCCAATTCCCCCTCCCCCAAACTTACCTGAGGTGCCTGGTTGCATATTCAGGCCTGTCAGAGAAAATGATGTGTCGGGAGCTTTTGAGAGCATCATTATGATATGTCAGGAGCTTTCTCCAAAGGTGCCTGAAGATGCAGCCAGGGTTAAGGTTTGTTTTTTTTTTTGGGGGGGGGGGGAGGAGACAGGGGACTGCGGGCTGGCATGGAGAGTTGCAACTATATTCTCACAAAAGGACTTTCTCATAGAAAAAAGCAATAACATGATATAGAGACACAACACTAATTAAATATAAAGAAGGAGCAGGGCAGACACGCTTGGACTTCAAAATTAGATTATTTTCTTCTTTTCTAGGCATGTACATGCAAATTCTCAGTGCAATGCATATAGAGTGCAAAATGTCCAATTTTACACTGGGTCTCTATTAAGTAAAGATTAAATATGAGACCTGACTTCTTTTTTCCAAAAACATCTTGTCCCAGCTTTTGGGCAAACACATTTAGAAATTATACACACATTTTCTTATTGCTGTTCAGTTGCAATTAATGGGTGAAAATTGTATTTTTGGTAGCTTAGCAAGTGACCCTCAACATTTATTCACCACATTGCTTATTCAACAATAAACAGAAAAATAAATCAGCTATTTTGCAATTTGGCATTTGCTATACCTGCAGATGGAGAAATGCTCAAGGCGGCATATGTAAAGGCTGGTGGAGCTGCTCAGAAGACAGCTGGTGGCCACAAATAATCATAAGGGCTGTGTTTGATAAACACCTGTCTAACTGCAAATAGAATTGCTCAAGATTATACAATTTCTTCAGGAACAGGTGTGGAAGCCTGCCTCTTGCCAAAGCAAGCATTTTTTCAGTTGAACTATATGGTCCTCCAATACATTTTCTCATATTATAGACACTATACAGGAGAACATTTAAACCTGAATTAAACTCAAGAGATGGTTGCCTCATGCCCTTTGTGATGAGGTCACAAATGTCCTCTTATCAGGGATGAAAAGGCAAGACTAGAACTGAAAAAGCCCACTTTACAATACACACACACACACACACACACTTAAAAGCAAATAGTAGACACATGTGACGGGGCTTTCATAATCTTCCATATCTTCTCCTCATTCCAAGTCTTGTGATGCTTGTGCACCAGATGAGTATCTTTTGACTCAGCTCACCCACCCACCCACTTGTGAGCTCCTGGTTGTAGAAATGGAAGAATATCATCACAATCCTAAACCTTACTCACTTCTTAGAGTTTATAAGCTTTTGGTAGACTATGATCTGTTCCTGCGTAATTCTCCAACAAAGGCAAGATGACCACAGGAGCAAAGCAGTCCTGGACTTCCCATTGAGTCCCTTTATTAGCTGATATGCGGAAATGGCATTGTAGGACAATTCTTTGACTGGCATTGAAGTACAGTAGAGTTTCACTTATCCAATCTTTGCTCATCCAACATTCTGTATTATCCAACGCAGTCTGCCTCCCACCCGGATTCACAGCTGTTTCAACACATTGTAATGTTTTGATAATAAAGTCATAAATACAGTAATTACTACATAACAAATTGATTTTTCTGTCAATTTGTTGTAAAACATGATGTTTTGGTGTTTAATTTGTAAAACCATAATGTAATTTGATGTTTTAAAGGCTTTTCCTTAATCCCTCCTTATTATCCAACATTTTCACTTATCCAACGTTCTGCCGGCCCGTTTATGCTGGATCAGCGAGACTCTACTGTACACACCAAAGTAAGTTTTACGACAAAACAAACAACTGTATCAGTAGGGATTTACACTTACAATAGTGTATTTTTGTAAATCTTTTGGTGTGTACCTTGATGCCAGAATTGAACAAGGAGAAAATGTTTGAATTTAGTCTAAAAGCTGTCTAGTCCTCTGATTCTTTCCCAGTGTGCTCTCACATCTACCAATTTCCTTGTCTAATGCCATTCTAGTTACACTGGCCGAGTGCTTATTTCATTCTTGAACTATAGCAGCATAGTGAGATTGCCATATCATCACCAGTTCCTCTTGGTAGCTATATTTTGGAGGCACGCTAACATGATAAATATAGAACTCATGTTTTGCTAAGAGGCAAATGTCTTTTTATTCTGGCAGGGGTTTTGGCAACCAACTAGTTGCTGCATAAGAGGCTTTTCACAGGATCTGTGCTTTTATTATTGATGTGTTTTAAACTGTATTTGTGTTTTCATATGTCAACTTCTTTTGCATTTTCCCTCTGCATATATATGTATGCATACATACACAGGCAGTCCCCAAATTACTAACAAGATAGTTTATGTAGATTTGTTCTTAAGTTGAATTTGTTTGTAAATCAGATCAGGTACATTTTAAGTGTAACTCCAGCCAAATGTTTGTGTTGCTGAAAACTATCCCACAAAATGTTACTTTGTACAAGTTCAGCATGCATACAGTATGTTTTTCACCCATTAGCATTTCAGTTGCCATACCAACTGGATCTATTCATTCAATTAGGTCATTTTTATCTCACCATTCTGGAATTTGAAATGGCTGTTTAAGAGCTGCTGGTGCTTTAGGAACACAATGAAAATCGAGAGCATTTTTCAGGAGAAGTCAAAGCAGAATATTAAAATACGAATATTAGTGAAATAAATTACGTGATAGCAATTCGAAGCCATCTGTTCAACTAATCAGAGAGTCCTGGATTGAAACCTTCACTTCAGCATATAATGTGCTGTGTAGCTATGGTTAACTCACTTTCACTTTTTCACCTGTCAGTTGGTGATAAAAGGCAAAGTTCCAATCCAGGGGGGTTGGGTGGTGAACTTTTATACAAGCAAAGCCAAGGTAGCCATGTGGAACACTGTCTGTAAAACTGGATTATACCACTGTGCAACCAGCCCATGGAACTCACACCATATCAGCTGCACACTCACAGCAGGCAACAGTTGACAGGACTTTGGACAAGGTGTACTTGGGTATGTGAAATTCCTTGTAGAATGGATATCCTGTCAAAATTTCACTGCTGCAGCCATAATAAGAATACAGTCCTTGTGAAACATCCTAAAAAGTGAAACTGTTGGAGTAAAGGTAAAGCTGATATAGTATATGTCATCAACAAGATTCTAGACATAGTGGCATAACTCAATGGATTGTTACTACGATGAATTAGAATTTGATTTCAAACCTCATAATTTGTTGATGTTTCTATCATTATTTACTACTATGGATAAGGGGAAAGTTTATGAAGGTTCAGCTCTTATTTACAGCATTGGCTCCACGGGGTGCTATTTTGTCTTCAGTGTTACTTAACATACGTTATGGGTTGGGCACAGTGTATTCCCAGGCTTTCCCACACAGAATCTTTCCTCTAGCTCAAGCCCAATTTATTTTCTTTGTCTTATTTCGGACTAGATAGTAGTCACAGAGTATTAAGGGCCTAACAGTGTTGCATTTAGCGCACAGGGAGTCAAATAACAAGGTAGTTCCCATAATTAACATAGCAAGTAGAAAGAATAACTCAAAGTAACCAGTTTATATTAGAATAACAAATATCAGTTTTCTCTTTAAAAACAAAACATTAAACTTGTTTTTAAGCATCGAGAAATACATGTAATTCAGTAAGAGATTCAATACCACAATATTCATACATACCATGGCCGTCATCCAGAAATTCTGTTATTGTTGCTGATGTGCATTTGGACCATGGTTTGGAAGCATCAATGCTTGTTAAAATGGAAGACATAAGTCTTTTGTCTTCCATGGAACCAAAGTTCTCTTCGCAGAATTTGGAATCGTCATGGGAAAGTCCAAGGAGATGCCCTAGAAGAAGGAAACAGTAAAAGATAATATTTTACTGCTTTAAGCATACATTCAAAGACCAAGGCCCCATCTCAAATCTAATTAGAAAATATTTCCACATCTATTTAGAATATTGTATTTCCATCTTCATCCCAACCATAGACTCCAGGTAGATGTATCCAGTTGACAGGGGTGGGAGTGGGGTTGTGCATGTTGCAGAAGCACAATTATGCATCTTGCGACAATAGATGTGCATACTAATTCTTTTCATATAGTTCTAGGATGGTATTGAGTGCAGGGAAAAGCATAGTGCTAGCAAAGTATAACTCAGTTGGCAGATATTTTCCCTATACTGAGATATAGGATCTTAACTACTGTGTTGTCTTCAAATATGTGAAACATGGCTTCTGAGATCTTGAAGTATTCCCAAAATCTTTATAGTTACACTGGTTACAGAAGGACCTATATACATGTGCCAGAACATAAATGTTTTCAAATTGTTGTTGGTCCATATATGGCATATATGCCTGACACAGAGAGCTTTGTAATATCTTTTCCCTCTGTCAGTGCCAAGCACTTTTGAAAGACCAACCTAAAACAATGGATGTCTTTAGGAAACATGAAGATGGCACTCACTTTTCTGTCTCCATATCTGATGTTATCTCAGACAATGTCTCAAACTTCTAGAATGGGAGGCAGCAGGAAATATTAGGTGCTTCAAAGGTAATCTGGGCAGGCTACACTCAGCACTTCACTGAAGTTTGTGGTACTGATGTCATATTGTATTCACTGGCAACTTGCAGTGAGTTTTTTTCTGACAAATTCAACCATATGTTACACATGTCTTTTTAGTATTATCCAAATAAAAATATATTTCTGATCTCAATTCAGGACTAGAGTGCAAAGCTATGAATATGATTATTATTCTTAGTATCTGCATTAAGCTAGCTAAACAACTCATTTTCCTTTGTATTGTTTATTTATTTATTTATTTACTCTATTTGTATACCGCATATATCAGCCTGAGGCGGCGACTCAATGCGGTTTACAATAAAAAGCAACACTAAACAATGTATGAGACACACAATACAGACAAACACATAATCATCAACGCCACACTTAGAATCAGATTCCGATCTCAAGATCCTTTTTCCATTCCTTGTCCGATGCCGTCATTATTGAGTTAGTTGTTACTACATGGTTATCCGAAAGCCTGCTCGTAGAGCCACGTCTTCACCCCCCTCCGAAACACCAGTAACGAAGGGGCCTGCCTGATGTCCACCGGTAACGCATTCCATAGCCGAGGGGCCACCACCGAGAAGGCCCTGTCTCTCGTGCCCGCCAGCCGCACTTGTGATGCCGGCGGAACCGAGAGCAGGGCCTCCCCGGAAGATCTTAACGCTCTTCCCGGTTCGTAGGAGGAATTGTTCCAATTTTAGTATATGTGCTGACGAAGTGAGCACTCATTTTCTTTTGTTAATGCCTCCTCCATGGAACTGTGAAGGGCAGTGTTTGTGTAGTTTTCATTCCTGAGTGGTTTTCATTCCTGCACCCTTCCCCCACAGTACATTACATTTCCACCTGCATTAGGTGATAAGCTTCCAAAAAATGAAACAGATATTACTTCTAGTTTACAATGGGGAACATTTTCTCTGGTTTCAGAAGAAGGCATCAGTGACTCTTCCAGGAGTAGAAGTAGCAATGTGCCTTCAAGTCATTTCCAACTTTTGGAGATTCTAAGGTGAATCTATCATGACTTTTCTTGGCAAAAATTGTTCAGCGGTTTTGCCGTAGCCTTCCTCTAAAGCCCTGTGTTACCCAGTGGGTTTCCATGGCTGAGCAGGGATTTGAACCCTGATCCAGCATCCCAACTCCATGATGGCTTCCAGAAGTTGCTTTTGACAATTTATGGATGATACTTCCAAATGTGGAAGGGGGAAAGTGAACCCAGTGGAACCTGGAAGGTCATAAGAAAGCCCTGGGGAATGCCTGTAGTTTTGGGGCAGCAGTTTTCCTGGTCTTATTTTACAAAAAGAACAGGCAACAGCCCTTGATTTACAAGTTTGCAAACTGACCACGGCTATAGTACAGTCAAAATGTTTTCCCACATATTTGAAAACTCTTTTGTAAGCACTGGAGGTGGAAGTGTGGATGACATATTCTCTGAAGTTAAATCTTGGTAAGTAAAGGCTCTCTGGACTTGAGGTTCTAAAGAGGATTTGGCTTTTGCAATAAAGGAGCATATACTCTGGAATTAGTGCAGTTTGACACCACTTGGTTCAGTGCTATGGAATTCTGGGGTTTATAGTTTGGGGAGGCACCACTATTTTTCAGCACAGAAGGCTAAATACTTTGTAAAATTACAATTCCCAGGATTCTACATCATTGATCCAAGGCAGTGTAAGCATTAATTCCATAGTGTAGATGTAGAAGAAATGGAAAAGCAGTACCAGTGCATTCAGAGACCAAATTTAGACCAAGTTTAGTTCCTAGGTCATCCATGAATTAAGCTGATGGCCTGCTTCAGGCTATATAACTCCCCAGCAGAGAAAACATACAGTCTGTCTATATTCAATCAATTCAAATCTGTTACTGGAGAGCATAGGTGTCAAGTTGTATGTAATGTAAGAAATAGCTGCTCCATCAGATACATATGTTACAGTACAGATAACTTTTATTCAGACTGCTGCAATATAGTATACTTGGGTCTTCCTTTGAGACCATCAGGACATTGCAGATAGGACAGCATTAGGTTGCTCTAATACTGACAAGGACAACAAGAAGTTACCTATTTTGAAATGTCTGCATAGGGCGAAAGTGAGCTACAGGGTCTAATTCAGTGGTTCTCAACCTGAGGATCCCCAGATGTTTTGGCCTTCAACTCCCAGAGATCCTAACAGCTGGTAAACTAGCTGGGATTTCTGGGAGTTGTAGGCCAAAATACCTGGGGACCCACAGGTTGAGAATCACTGGTCTAATTCAAGGTGCTAACACTATAGTATTAAGTCCTGTATATCACAGAAACTAAGTACCTAGAAGATTACTTTCTCTTAAGCCTCAAGGAAGTTCAAGATCAGCTTAGGAGGACCAGGTAATATAACCTTTGGAACTACCACATATGGCAGGACCTTCTTGATGGTCACAAGAACCTAGATGTGATGCTCCCTTCAATCAGAGATTCAAGTGTCCTCAACTTCTCTTCATTCCCCAAGAATTCCAGTTTCTATTTCTATTTCGTTTCTTTTCTTTTAAAGCAAAAAAGGTACATGCTGCATGTTTCAGTTCGGCACTAATTAAAATGAAACAATCTGCTTGTATACAGTGCATTCATGCAATACAGCTTCGAATTTTATGGTTTTGTTCTTTGAAAATATTTCTTTGATGTCTAGCAATGATACAAGATTGTAAAGAAAAACAGGAATGTAAGATTACACAGTCAGCAGCTAATACAGCACTGACTTATAAATGAACAACATTTGGAGTATGTGTATTTATATTTACAGAGCCGGCTGTGTTCTTGTTGATTTTCCATTAGCTAAATCAAAACGATATGTTAAGGATTTATTCCACTCTTTGTTTGCAGTTTTATTTTTTTATTTCTTTCAATGAGACAATAGAAGTCTCTGGCTGGAAATTAAAATAAATCAGACTAAAGAAGCCACTAGATTCCTTGCCTTTTTATGTTTCATAGTTTGACTTGCTAGTTTATTTATTTATTTATTTATTTGTTTGTTTATTTACAGCATTTATATTTTAAAAAATTAGTTTAAAATTATATTCTACATTTGTCTTGATCTGATTGTAAAACTTTAGATCTGGAGCAGTGAATGGGATATAACATCTACAACCATTTCTCCAAATTATAGGATGCATACACACATCAGTAATGCTATAACACCCAATTTCTTACATCTACTCAATGTGGGCCTAAATTATCTTGAGGTTTTTCCAACTCTGTAATTCCATTTGTTTTTGTTGTTATGTGTCTTCAAGGTGATTCTGACTTATAGTAACCATTTCCTAAGGTTTTTTTTTACAAGATTTACTCAGGGCAATTTGCCATTACTTTCTTCTAAGGCAAAGGGGTGTGTGAATTTCCAAGAGGGTTTTCATGGTTGAGTGGGGATTCAAACCCCGATCTTCTGGAATTCTAATCCAACACTCAGGCCACAACACCACAGTGAGTCCCTTCAATAATTCTATGCATTTTTAATTAAAAAAACATATTTAATTATACTTTTTCAGTATTGATATTTCTAGCTAAGTGAAAATGACATATAATTTTACCAGTGAGCTAATGTTTATACTGCAGTAATGTTTAAAGTGGTTTTAAAAAAGCAGATCAGAGGAAATGTCAACTTTCCCCAGTGCATTCCATTTAAAAAGTAGCTAGTTCTTCCTTATAACCTCTACTATTTAAGAGGATGGAAACAGTGAATAACCCCTCTACTAATTCCTCCTTGTTTAGAGTTCAAGAAAATGTAAGTGATAATTTTATGGAAGTATGAAAAGAAATGACATGGTAAAACATGATTTTTAACCAAAGGAATGCTTAATTCTTTTGATAGGTACTGAGCACTCAAAAACAAGTACATCTCATGGATTTTTCTATATTTCTGGTTAGAGGGAGTTGGCTAAATACACTGGGATTGGTAAATCAATTCAGCAAGCATTTTGAGACACATACTCATGTCCCAACATCAGTGGATAACTCCCTGTTGCAGCAGCTCCACTGGCTGCCAGGTAAAAAGTGAGACAGGTCATGTGTTTGGGGCCTGTCTGGAAGGGCCCTGAGTCTAAACTGCCATATCACCCAGCTCAATCTGCATTATAAAGGCAGTGTAAATAGAACCACAGTCCCAGTAAATTCTTAGTGAAAAGAATGCTACAGTGTTTGTGAGTTATTTATTCAGAAAAATTACAGCTTGCATGAAGTATCTGTTTTTCAGTATCGCCCTTGCCTAAGTCATGATTTCCATCTGCAATAATTTAGGGGGGGGGGGTCATATTACTTTTCAAAT